ACTTATTTATTATTATTATTATTATTATTATTATTATTATTATTATTATTATATTTTGACCAGAGAAAGAGAGAGAAAGTGAGAAAACAGGCCACAAGTTCCAAGACTTGAAACATGGTCAGCCATGTGGGAGTCCAGTGTCTTTAACCACTACGCCACCTGCCAGCCCCCAAAGGTGGAACAGTATCAAGGTAAGGCTTTAAAAATGAATGATTTGGGGACCATCAGATGGTATAATGGTTACATTGCTGGACAGCCACTGGACACAGTTCAAGTCCTCCCAGACCCAGCAGCTTGAAATTCATGCTGGGCACATGCTCGTGCACACCCAAGATCCCAAGAGCAGAATGGAGGAGAAGGGACTGCAGCATGGCCATCCCCTCTAGGGGGAGGGGGATGATTTCTCACTTTCTATATCTGTATCTCTCTTCGGCGAGTGCACATACCCTATAACAAAATTATGGAAAAAAATAATGATTTTATTGGCTTTTCTCTCATTATAAAAGTGGTTCGTGTTACAGTAGGTACTTGGAAATCGTAGATATCCAAAGACAACCAACTTTACCATTATGGTGTCTGTCCTTGTCCTTCTGTCTAAGCTTAGTATGTATTTTGTTTGTTTGTTTGTTTTGCTACCGAGCACATGTGAGAGAGACAGAAAGTGAGAAATCACCCTGCAGGTAGGATAGCCATGCTGCAATTCCTTCTCCTCCAGTCTCCCCTCAGATTTTGGGGCATGGGTGCACACATGCCTGGCATGTGTTTTCAAGCTATTGGGTCTGGGACTTGAACTGCACAGCAAACTATATGGGACCCAGTGCCTTAACCTCCACACCACCTGCTGGCCCCTATAAGTACTTTTATTAACTCCCCAATAAGAACAAAATATGCTGGGGAAAACAGTAAACAAACTCACATGGGAAGCAGAAAGGCTATTGCTTAAGTGTTTCTGGCATGGAGAATAAGAGTTAAGCTGCTGCAGCTGCAAGAATTCCCCCTCCCCTTCCCCACTGTAGAGTCAAAGCTGAATTGGACCCAAGGATTCCAGCTGTGACAGATTCTCTGTATTTGGGAGCCCAAGAGAACTATAGTTCAGGACTCTGAAAAAGGAAGCCTTGTTAACTCTGGGACCTGTGGGAGTGAGCATTTTTGGGGTTACTCAGATAATGACATGCTGGGCGAGGCTGAGGAGCTGCCAGGAACCGTCCAGCTTCCTGCTCTGTCCCTGGAGGCAATCAGCCCTCCAGGTGAAGAGCTGCCTGTGCTTTGTGCTGTTTCTCTGGTGCTCCTTCAAGAGGTCAGCAGGACAGGGCCTGACAGGGGAGTGCTTATGGTGAGAGCAGGCTCAGCTGCCCAGGGCCTGTTTTTTCTTTCCTCCCTTTTCAATGCAGATGAAGCCCAGGAAGCAGAAGCCATTCGGACCCTGACTTCCATCTTGAATATTCGAGAATCCACCCTTGGCCAAACCCCCCTAAAAACTATCTTTGTTCTGAAAATCCTGGTCATGCTTTACTACCTGATGATGAACTTTTCAAAGGCAAGTTTCCCCAGAAATGCAACCTGTAAAAATGAAGGTAGAAATGTATCTGGTTGAATTTAGCTTTGGTCTGCCTGTTTCCCCAGTTTCTGCCCTCAGGACACCTTCACTTCCAGTGACATTTCTTATTTGTTGACTCAAGCCTACACATGGAAACTGGATTGCCTTCTTCCCTTAAAGGGGGTCTTCTCAAGCTTGCAGGATAAACTGGGTCTGGGGCAGTGTCAGGACGCCTGCAGGGCAGAAGGACTCTGGGAGTCTTTGGAGGACTCAGTTACTGAGTTCTTCATTGCTGTAGGAACTCAGGCAGAAATGAATGGCAATGAAATGATTTGAAAGGTAGCTTTTTGAGTTCTTATGACTTACCTGTCACTGGCTTGAGCCTTTTACATATTTATCATATTTAATTCTCACATCAGCCTTATGAGGTAGGTATTTTAAAATTTTATTTATTTATTTAATTCCATTTGTTATTATTATTTTTTAATTTGACCAGATAGAGACAGAGACAGAGAGAGCGAAAGGGACAGCCAAGAAGCAAGCTGGCAGGTCTGGGACTCAAACTCTGGTCAGCCATGTGGGAATCCAGCGCCTTTAATCACCATGCCACCTGCTGGCCCCAAGATAGATATTTTATTACCCATTTAAAGATAAGGAAACCGAGGCACAGAGAGGGTCAGTTATTTGCCTGATGTCTTACAAATAGCAAGTGACACATCTCAGGCTTATTTATTTATGATTTAGTTATTTGTTTAGTTTAGTTTATTGATAGCAACAGGAAAGCTCAGGACCTTAGAGTCCTGTCACACTGTGATCCATCTGCCGCCCCCCCTCCCCCGGCTTTCTAGTCAGCCAGGCTCATGTGCATTCATGTGCACCAGTACGTTTCGGGTTGACCTGGAATCCAAACTGCAGTCTTCCATGTGGCTCCAGCATCTCAGAGCAGTGCCTCACCGCCTGCACCACCGCGGCTGGGCCATGACTCCGGTCTATTAATTGACCCATTCACTTACTCATAGAGTTATTGAGCATCTGCCATTTGTCAGATACCATCTTAGGGACCAGGGATACAACTGAAGTTCCATGTCCCATAGATTTTTTTGTTTTTCAGAGGAAGGAAAGTCACACTAAATAAGTAACCATATGGACATGTGCTGTCACTTTAGATAATGAAAAGTGCTATGAAGGAAACTAAAACAGGCCCAGCTTGATGGTGCAGTTAGCAGTGAACTGTATGGCAGTACAGGCAGCCCCATGACTGACTATACGTTTGATCCTGAAGTCAGCCTGAAAGCATGCGGGGCACATGGGCACGTACGTATTCATGTGCACGTGTGTCCAAGATCCTGACGAGCTGGACAGCTCAGGAAAGGAGTGCAGCATGATAAGACCCTTTGAGGAAGCTTCTCTCTCTCTTTCTCTCTCCTGCACATGCACATCTCTCTATTACAAATAAAATACACTTTAAATATTTTTTAAGAAAGGCAGGGAGAGAGAGAGGGCTGGTTGGAAGATGTCTTTCTGAGGGCGACATGGGAAATTGAAGATTCTCTTCCCCTTTTCCTTCTGCCTCCCTTCCTTTCTTGCTTCTTTCCCTTTTTCTTTTTTTGGAGAAGTTTTTGCTATAGGGCACGTGCACTTGCCAGACAGACAGAGAGAGACAGAGAGACAGAAAGCGAGAAATCACCCCTCAGGGGGATGGCCACACCACAATCCCTTCTCCTCCATTCTCCTCTCGGGATCTTGGGCAAGCACACACACGTGCCCGGCGTGAGTTTTAAGCCACCGGGTCCGGGACGCGAACCGCGGTTGACTGAGTGGGAGTCCAGCGACATAGCCATTACACTAACAGCTGGTCCCGCTTTTTTCCTTTTTTCAACAAACGTTTATTTTTAAAGAATTATTTTATTTAACTTTATTTATTTATTTATTTAAATTTGACCAGAGGGAGAGAAAGCCTCTAGGTCTGGGACTTGAACCGCAGCCAGCCATATAGGAGTGTGCCCTTAACCACCATGCCACCTGCCAACCCCTCTTCAGCAAACTTTTACTAAACACCTACTGTATACCAAGACCTGAAGAAGCTTACAGTCAGTAGGTTATAGTAAAATGTGACAGTGAAGTTCAGGGCTCTGTGGGAGCATGGAAGAGGGGCACTAACCCTGACTAATCGTTTTTGCTACCAGGTGCATTTGAGAGAGACAAAGTAAGAAAGCACCCTCCAGGGAGGATGATCATGCCACAATTCCTTCTCCTCTTAGGATTTTGGGAATGCATGCACACATGCCTGGCATGATTTCAAGTTGCTGGACCTGGGTCTCGAACCACACAGCAGGCCATGTGGGACCCAGCAATGGTTGTATAAAAGGGAACTATTTCCTTGATTTTCAAATTTGTATTGGACAAAGCCCATTTTATTTACTACCGGGTAGAATTTTCTTTCTTTTTAAAACAACTTTACATTTAATCACTCTACCTCTTTACACTGTACAACATGGCTTTTCCCAGCATGAATACAGTACATACCAGTCAAGACAAAGACATTATCAATGCACATTATCATCAGCAACAACTTTTCACTTGTGTATCAGTTAAATGTATTCAGGGTCCAATTTTCTACTATATATTCAAGGAAATCACTGCCATAAGGCATATTAAGGGTGTTAGATCTACAAAAGGCCCTTAAACAAAACAGATACATCTACATATCAAGACTGACCCCTCTGTTTCCTTCGGGTCTTTATTCAACTGTTGTCTTCTTTTTTAATTTGTCAGAGAACACATGCACTTGTCAGAAACAGGGAGAGAGGAAGAAAGCACCCCTCATGGTCCACACCGTAATCCCTTCTCCATTTCTCTCTCCTGTTGGGATTTAGGGCATGCACTTACATATACCTGCAGTTTTTTTCTTTCTTTTTTAAGTATTTATTTAATTTTATTTATTTATTCATTTATTTTTTAATTGCACGCGCGCACATACACACACACACACAGAGACAGAGAGAGAGACCGGGAACGGGCGAAAGCAAGTCACCAGGTAAATAAGTAACCATATGGACATGTGCTGTCACTTTAGATAATGAAAAGTGCTATGAAGGAAACTAAAACAGGCCCAGCTTGATGGTGCAGTTAGCAGTGAACTGTATGGCAGTACAGGCAGCCCCATGACTGACTATACGTTTGATCCCGAAGTCAGCCTGAAAGCATGCGGGGCACATGGGCACGTACGTATTCATGTGCACGTGTGTCCAAGATCCTGACGAGCTGGACAGCTCAGGAAAGGAGTGCAGCATGATAAGACCCTTTGAGGAAGCTTCTCTCTCTCTTTCTCTCTCCTGCACATGCACATCTCTCTATTACAAATAAAATACACTTTAAATATTTTTTAAGAAAGGCAGGGAGAGAGAGAGGGCTGGTTGGAAGATGTCTTTCTGAGGGCGACATGGGAAATTGAAGATTCTCTTCCCCTTTTCCTTCTGCCTCCCTTCCTTTCTTGCTTCTTTCCCTTTTTCTTTTTTTGGAGAAGTTTTTGCTATAGGGCACGTGCACTTGCCAGACAGACAGAAAGAGACAGAGAGACAGAAAGCGAGAAATCACCCCTCAGGGGGATGGCCACACCACAATCCCTTCTCCTCCATTCTCCTCTCGGGATCTTGGGCAAGCACACACACGTGCCCGGCGTGAGTTTTAAGCCACCGGGTCCGGGACGCGAACCGCGGTTGACTGAGTGGGAGTCCAGCGACATAGCCATTACACTAACAGCTGGTCCCGCTTTTTTCCTTTTTTCAACAAACGTTTATTTTTAAAGAATTATTTTATTTAACTTTATTTATTTATTTATTTAAATTTGACCAGAGGGAGAGAAAGCCTCTAGGTCTGGGACTTGAACCGCAGCCAGCCATATAGGAGTGTGCCCTTAACCACCATGCCACCTGCCAACCCCTCTTCAGCAAACTTTTACTAAACACCTACTGTATACCAAGACCTGAAGAAGCTTACAGTCAGTAGGTTATAGTAAAATGTGACAGTGAAGTTCAGGGCTCTGTGGGAGCATGGAAGAGGGGCACTAACCCTGACTGTAATCGTTTTTGCTACCAGGTGCATTTGAGAGAGACAAAGTAAGAAAGCACCCTCCAGGGAGGATGATCATGCCACAATTCCTTCTCCTCTTAGGATTTTGGGAATGCATGCACACATGCCTGGCATGATTTCAAGTTGCTGGACCTGGGTCTCAAACCACACAGCAGGCCATGTGGGACCCAGCAATGGTTGTATAAAAGGGAACTATTTCCTTGATTTTCAAATTTGCATTGGACAAAGCCCATTTTATTTACTACCGGGTAGAATTTTCTTTCTTTTTAAAACAACTTTACATTTAATCACTCTACCTCTTTACACTGTACAACATGGCTTTTCCCAGCATGAATACAGTACATACCAGTCAAGACAAAGACATTATCAATGCACATTATCATCAGCAACAACTTTTCACTTGTGTATCAGTTAAATATATTCAGGGTCCAATTTTCTACTATATATTCAAGGAAATCACTGCCATAAGGCATATTAAGGGTGTTAGATCTACAAAAGGCCCTTAAACAAAACAGATACATCTACATATCAAGACTGACCCCTCTGTTTCCTTCGGGTCTTTATTCAACTGTTGTCTTCTTTTTTAATTTGTCAGAGAACACATGCACTTGTCAGAAACAGGGAGAGAGGAAGAAAGCACCCCTCATGGTCCACACCGTAATCCCTTCTCCATTTCTCTCTCCTGTTGGGATTTAGGGCATGCACTTACATATACCTGCAGTTTTTTTCTTTCTTTTTTAAGTATTTATTTAATTTTATTTATTTATTCATTTATTTTTTAATTGCATGCGCGCACATACACACACACACACAGAGACAGAGAGAGAGACAGGGAAAGGGAGAAAGCAAGTCACCAGGTCCAGGACTCGAACCTTGGTCAGCCATGTGGGAGTGTCCAGTGCCTTAACCACCACATCACCTGCTGGTCCCCCCGGGAAATTTTCAAACCACCAGATCCAGGATTTAAACTGTGACATTGGCCATGTGGGATCTAGCTGCCTTAACTACCAGGCCATGAAGCTGGCCCCAAGCAGTCTTCTTTTATGTGAAGCTTTCCTTAGTTTCCTTGTCTAAAACTGCAAACCCCACTCCCCCCGCCCCCATGCTTCCTCTCTCTTTCTCGCTTTATTTTTTTCCTTACCCTTTGTCACCATTTAAGATATATCATGCTTTATTTATCTGTCTTGCGTCTTGTTTCTTATCTCTCCCCCCTACTATATGTTGCCCAAAGACAGAAATTTCTGCCTTTAGTCTCAGTACCTGAAAGATAGCAACCATTCAATAAATACAAGAAAGAAGGGAGGGAAGGAAGGAGCCAAAGACCTAACCAGGGTGTCCTAGAGAGCCTCTGTCGAAGTTAAACCTCTGGGCCACATGGTCCAGGGCTGTCCCAGGATGGTAATTACTTGTGGTGCCTATCACCTCTATGCCTCCCAGTGTTGGCTCACAGGGCCCTGAATAAGTGCTGCAGAGATCTCACTGTTTAAGAAGGGGTACTTTGGTATGTCAAGTCAGGTGAGGTTTTCTGGCATCCTGTGTCTCTCCCAGCACACATGTAACTAGCTGTAAGGGTCCAGTGTGTACAGGTCTATTAACAAGAGCTCAGTGGCTGGTGTGAGAAAATGATGGGTTCTCTCTCATGCTTCTGGAATTGAGGGAATTTTCCAATGTTATACTTTCCTGTTTTGACTTCCTTTTCTCACAATTCTGTTTCAGGCACAGGAATATGCCAAAAGAGCCCTCAGTATAGTCAAAGAAAAACGGCTTGGTAGCCATGAGCGAAAAGCCATTAAAAAGTTATTAAATCTCATCTCGACTGAAGAAGAGCATCCCATCACTTAGCCAGCCACGAGCTCTGGGGCAGGGGCTATTGAAGGGACTGTGAGTGTCTACGGCATTCCGGTCTTGCACAACTGTTTTGAGGTACCTGGATTGCTGCAGTTTCCTCCCTCTTCTCCTGGGAATGCACACGTAGCTGTGGTTTGATTCTTACTTAGCCTATGTGAGGGAATATAGAGTTTCACCATAGAAATCAGTAAAATTGTTGTTCCTCACGACTTTTGTACTTGGTTCCTCATGACTTTGTACAGCTTTGAGTAATGTATGGTCAGATCACTAATACGGTATTGCACTTAAACTACGAAGCATTTCCTCTATTTCCAGAAGTCTCCCAGTGATGCATATTTCACAGGTCTTTGCCAAAGGAGGGAAAGGGAAAGCTGTATTAGAGCAAAGTTTCTCTCTTCTACTGGAATTAAATTAACATTAATCCGAGGTAGAATGTGGTAAAAATATCTATCACAATTGCAAGACCAGTCACTAAGAAAATAAAAAAACAGTTAAAAACCAACAAAGTGATTAAAGTGCTGTGCCAGAAAATATCCACTTAGAGCAAAGAAGACAATTAAGGAGAAATGAGGAACAAAAAAAGATATGAGGCATAAAGAAAACAGTCAAATGTATTCATAAATCATACATAGACAGGTCTTAACCTGCCCGAGAAGGACCCTGGGCCACTCAGGGAGCCCCAGTATGGACTGGTGGAGAGGTCATCCTAGTCTGCTTTCTTTCTTACCTCAGACAATAATTTGGGGAGACATGAGTCATCTATACTGTGTAGGGGAAGGGACACTCTGAACGGGCCACTGTGCAGGTGAAGAGAATAGTGTGCAGGCCTTGGACTCAGACATGCCTGGGTTCAAATCCTAGCTCCATCATGTAATAGCTTTGTGACCTTGATCTTCCCAGAACCTCACTCATTATTGGAAACTGGCCCAGATGTGGTCACAGCTGTATCAGCTTGTCCATCTTGATGACGCTGGTCATTTTGCACATCATTTCTTTCTCTCTGAGCAATTCTCCAGACTTGCCAAGCTGCACTTTGCTTCCTGGGTAGATCAGTACCCAGGGAGAGGATATGCAGCTCATGAGCCTGTCAGAGAGTTTTATGTTCATCACTATAATCCATTCAGACACATGTAATAAAATATGTCAGATGGGTCACCTTGCCTCTTGAGGTAAAATCACCTGGAAACCCCATTCCATATTTTGGCATTCTTTCACTTCATTAAGATGGCTATGAAGTTCCAGGGGCTTGTTTTCCAGTAATTTTAAAACACTGTATCTGTGGCCCGGTTGGTGGTATGGTGGTTAAGATGCTGGACTCCCACATGACCAACCATGATTCAAGTTCCAGACCTAGCTGCTTTCTCTCTCTCTCTCTCTTTCTCTCTCTCTGCCTCTCTCTGGTCAAATGGAATAATAATAAATTAAATTAAATAAATAATTATTTTAAAAATATTGTATGCTATATGAGAGAGAGAAAGAGAGAGAGAAAGTACACCTCTCCCACGGGGCATGGTCATGCTGAAAACCTTTTCCCTCTAGTCCTCCTTCCCATCAGGATTTTGGACATGTATGCACACATGCCTGATGTGTTTTCAAACAGCCAGGGTCAGGTTTCAAAACACAGTTGGCCATGTGGTATCCAGCTCCCAATATACAACACTTAACCACTGCACTACCCGGTTGACCTTCATCTCTTGATCCAGTTTCTAGGTTCAATTGAATTCTCACTCTTTAATCTATATTATGTAGCTGTTTCTTTTTTTCTTTAGGAACACAGTTCCTCCTTCTTGATTTTCACCCCCCAAACCTAAATATGAGCAAATTCTTTCAAATAGACTTAATGAAGATTGGAAGGATGATGAGGAAGATCAACAACTTTTCAACAAATAATTTTTTTTTTTTTGGAGAGGTTTTTGCTATAGGGTGCATGTGCTCACAGAAAGACAGAGAGAGACAGAGAGATAGAAAGCAAGAAATCACCCCCTAGAGGAAATGGCCATGCTGCAATCCCTTCTCCATTTGCCTCTCAGGATCTTGGGCACACACACACCTGGTGTGAGTTTAAGCCACTGGGTCTGGGACTCGACTCTGTCTCTCTGGCGAGCGCACGCACCCTATAGCGAAAACCTCTCAAAAAAAGAAAAGAAAAAAATATCAAAACAAAAATTTGTGTTAGAAGCCATATTAATGGTTAAACCTGATACCTAGCATCAATAATATTGTCGACTGACAATTGTAGAGAAAACATTGTTCTGTGTCCTGATTTATGCAAGTCTATGTTTGTATGTGTGCACATGAGTGTGTAGAGAAAATAGAATTGAAATGCACATTATAAAAGCAAGTAAATTCTTTCCCTTCTCGTCCTTCAATAAGCTTATATGTTTGAGAAACACAGATTTTTATAATGTAAAGAAGCATAGGGGCCAGCAGGTGGTATAGTGGACTCCCACATGACCAACCATGATTCAAGTTCCAGACCTAGCTGCTTTCTCTCTCTCTCTCTCTTTCTCTCTCTCTGCCTCTCTCTGGTCAAATGGAATAATAATAAATTAAATTAAATAAATAATTATTTAAAAAATATTGTATGCATATATGAGAGAGAGAAAGAGAGAGAGAAAGTACACCTCTCCCACGAGGCATGGTCATGCTGAAAACCTTTTCCCTCTAGTCCTCCTTCCCATCAGGATTTTGGACATGTATGCACACATGCCTGATGTGTTTTCAAACAGCCAGGGTCAGGTTTCAAAACACAGTTGGCCATGTGGTATCCAGCTCCCAATATACAACACTTAACCACTGCACTACCCGGTTGACCTTCATCTCTTGATCCAGTTTCTAGGTTCAATTGAATTCTCACTCTTTAATCTATATTATGTAGCTGTTTCTTTTTTTCTTTAGGAACACAGTTCCTCCTTCTTGATTTTCACCCCCCAAACCTAAATATGAGCAAATTCTTTCAAATAGACTTAATGAAGATTGGAAGGATGATGAGGAAGATCAACAACTTTTCAACAAATAATTTTTTTTTTTTTGGAGAGGTTTTTGCTATAGGGTGCATGTGCTCACAGAAAGACAGAGAGAGACAGAGAGATAGAAAGCAAGAAATCACCCCCTAGAGGAAATGGCCATGCTGCAATCCCTTCTCCATTTGCCTCTCAGGATCTTGGGCACACACACACCTGGTGTGAGTTTAAGCCACTGGGTCTGGGACTCGAACCACAGTTGACTACATGGGAGTCCAGCGACACAGCCGTTACACCATCTGCTGGTCCCAATTTTTATTTTTTTCTGCCTTTCTAACACTTGCATTTAAGGCTATAAATTTTCCTCTAAATATTGCCTTGACTAATCCTACATATTTTGAAACACCATCTTTTTTTTTCTTAAATGATTATTTTATCTTTATTTATTTATTTATTTTTATTTTTATTTGACCAGAGAGGAACAGAGAGAGAGAGAGGGAAAGTGAGAAAGCAAGCCACCAGGTCCAGGACTTGAACCACAGTCAGTCATGTGGGAGTCCAGCACCCTTAACCACCATGTCACCTGCCAGCCCCAAAACACCATTTTATTTTTGCCTAATATTTTTCTAAATTTTTATGACTCATTTAAAAGTATGATTTTTAATTTCTAAAAAATGAAGTCTTACTGGTTTCTAGCTTAATTTTATTGAGGTCATAGAATATGTGTCCAATTTTGACTTTTAGATATTGGTTGAGATTTGATTTATGGCAAAGGATTAGGTCAATATTTGTAAATGTTCTGTATGTGCTAGAAAAGAGTGAAGTTATTGAGACCAGTAACCTATATATGCTCATTAAGTCAATTATTCATATTTTCAAATCTTGCATTTCTTGGGGCCAGCAGATGGTGTAGAGGTAAAGCTGCTGGACTTCTACATGAATGCCTATGATTCAAGTCCTAGACCCAGTGGCTTGAAAATTACACTGTGTGTGTGTGTGTGTGTGTGTGTGTGTGTGTGTGCGCGCGTGTGTCCAATATCCCACATTCATGGAGGAGAAGAGATTGTGGTTTGGCCAACCCCTATAGGAGGGTGATTTCTCACTTTCCCTCTCACTGTCTCTCTCTGGCAAGCACATACACCCTATGACAAAAACAAAAACAAATAAATCCTGAATATCTTTGCTGAATTTTGTTTATTTCTAAGAGAGGTATGTAAAACCCATCCAACATAATCATGGATTTGTCTGTTTCTCCTTGTAGCTCTCTCTTTTTGCTTTACATATTTTGAGATTTTGTTATTAGGCATGTATAAATTTAAACATCATATTTTCCTGATGAATTGCCTTTTTTTGGTATTTGGTGATCCCTTTTTATCTCTAGTAATATATTTTTATTTATTATTATTTATACAGTCAATCGCTATACAGCACTTAGATTGTAAAAAGATTTTACCCAACATGATACATGCCACACGCCAGATGAGTTAAAATATTATACTTGACATCAACAGGCAACAAAACCATATCTGTATCCCACAAATGTCTTCTCCATTTTTCCCCAAATTTCCCTTCTTGCACTCTTCCCCTTATCCATTCTCCTTCCACTTTGTCCCCAGTGTCCATAACAATTTTCAATCTTTTTATGTCCTCCAGTCTTTCAGTCTCTACCATAAGAGTGTAGACATCAATATATGTTAAGTGGAGACATACAGTGTCGCTGTTTCATACCCTGACTTGCTTCACTCAGCAATAAATCTTCCATGTTTGTCCACTTTCTATCAAATGCCAGCGTCTTGTTTTTTTTTTTTAATGGCTGAATAGTATTCCATGGAGTATATGTGCCACACTTTTTCAATCCATTCATCTGTTTGTGGACATTTGGGTTGGTTCCATGCCTTAGCAATTGTGAACAATGCTGCAATAAATATAGTTGTGCAAGCGCTTTTCCGACTGAGTGTTCTCCTGTTCATTGGGTAGATACCCAGGAGTGGAATTGCAGGATCATGTGGTAGTTGTATGTGAAGGTCTTTGAGGAACCGCCATATTGTTCTCCACAGTGACTGGACCAATTTACATTCCCACCAACAATGTAGGAGAGTTCCCCTTTCACCACATCCCTGCCAACACTTGTCATTTTTTTTTTAAAAATCTTTGCCATTCTTACTGGGGTTAGGTGGTATCTCATTGTAGTTTTGATCTGCATCTCCCTTATGATGAGGGATGTTGAGCATTTTTTCATGTGCTTT